GTGACCAGGCCCTATTCCAGTCCTCCGGATCCACAGCCACTCCCAGGTCACGTTCCCACTGAGCAACATATGAAAGAAGTGTGCAACGAGCGTCTGTTCAAAGCTGCGTAAAGAAGGGAGATAAGGCCCGGGGCACCTGGACGCTGCTGGCAAAGCCGTTCAAAGGCAGATTTCTGATATGGGAAAGCAGAAGTGGCCCTCAGCGAGAGTAGCCAGTGCCGCAATTGAAGGTACCGAAAAAATTCCGCTGGGGGAACATCTTGAGACTCCCGAAGGACACTCCAGGTGGGAAAGGACCGAAAAATCAAAAAGTGTTGCACCTGTGAGAAACCATGAGCCACCCACCAAGAAAATGCCCTCGGGTGATCTAGACCCGGCGGGAAAAGAGGGTTGTTAATGATTGGAGGCAAGGGCAAGAAGGGTGACATCAGGCCACTGGAGTAACGTACCGAGTCCCAGACTTGTAGGCCATGGAGCAACATCGGACTCGGCGCCATAGGGCGCAGAGCAGGGGGAAGCCATAGAAGTGTCAACAGTGCGATAGGGGCACAATTAGGTAGTTCCAGCAGGACCCAGAGAGGAACATCGGAGGAAGCGTGCAACATAGACAGCGGAGCAATCTGGCTCACCTGATAATACTTTGTTACATTAGGTACCCCAAGACCACCCTGGAGTCTATGAGCAAAGAGCGTATTTCTAGAGACTCTGGGGTGTTTATTGGCCCAGATAAACCGCATAAACTTCGCCTGAAGCAACCGAAGAAAATGAGGGGGAACCCGCACTGGGAGTGTGCAAAAATAATATAACAATTTCGGCAAGATGGTCATTTTCACTGAATGGACCCGTCCTATCCAAGACAGGTGCGGAAATTGCCAGGAGTGCATAAGGGAAGATAAAGAGCTAAGCAAAGGATAGTAATTTGCACCAAAAAGGGAGTCATAGGTGGGGGGTCAAGTGAATGCCCAAGTATTCAAGAGAAGAGGAAGCCCACCATCGTCCGCAAAGAGGCTCAGCTTAAACTCCTGTCCCGCGTATGGAACCCCCGATACATTGCAATTGGTCCGGAGCGCTAAAGCCAGTGGCTCAAGCGCCAGGACAAAAAGCGCCGGGGACAGCGGGCAGCCCTGCCTCGTCCCTTGCCCAACAGGAAAGGGATCCGAGAAATACCCAGCGTATTTAACGGAGGCCGAAGGGAAGGAATACAAGGCTTGAATCCAAGAGAGAATAGAATCCCCAAAACCCCAACGAGACAGCACAAACCGCAGATAGTCCCAGAATAGAGAATCAAAAGCTTTATATATGTCCAAGGACAGTAAGAATCCTGGGATTTTCCGTTGTTGCAGAAAATGTATAAGATGGACCACCTTACGGACGTTATCACCTGCCTGCCTCCCGGGGACGAACCCTACTTGGTCCCTGTGGACCAGGCTACACAAATATTTATTGATGCGAAAACTAAGGATCTTGCCCAATATCTTCAGGTCTTCATTAAGAAGAGAAATGGGCCGGAAGGCTTGCGGTTCCTGGACATCATCGGTCGTTTTAGGAATCATAGAGATATGTGTGCCCTAAGTGCGTCCGGAGAAGGCAAGGAGCCCTGTCGTAACTCATTGAAATAGGCCGCTAAAAAGGGCGCCAATAGGACTGAGAATTTTTTATAATAGAGACCGGAGAAGCCGTCGGGACCTGGGGCCGCGGAGGACCGTAAAGATTTGATCGCTTGGAGCACTTCCGGTAAGGTGACACCAGCGTTGAGGGCCGCTTGTGCTGCCTCGGTTAATCCAGGAAGATGGAGGTCTTGAAAGAATGCCTCTGCCTGGGCCACAGAGAAGGGATCTGGGGCAGCATAGAGGCGCAAAAGGAAGTCCGAGAATCGGGAAACAATCTGCTGGGGATTAGAAGTACAGCCACCCGTGGAAAGTCGAAGTCGAATCGGTTTATGGGGTTTCCCCACAGAATTGAGTTTCCTGGCTAGCATGGGACCGGGCTTATTAGCACAGGAATAGAATTTATGTCTGGTGCAACGCAGGGCCCTTTCGGCCTCCGAAGAGGCGAGGAGGTCCAATTCTGTCGCCAGAGCGTCCCGAGCGCGTTTATGGGCCACGGATGGAGATGACTTCCAACGCGCATCCGCAGAGGCCAGGAGAGAATGTAGCTCCAAGAGTCGGCGTTCCCACTCCCGCTTCCGAACTGCAGCCAGCTGTATAACATGACCCCGCACCGTGGCCTTATGCGCTTCCCATAGGGGCACTGCTGAAGAGACCGATCCCGAGTTTTCCGTAAAATATGTTCGTAAAAAGAATTCTATTTGTTGGCAGGTAGCCTGAGTGGTCAGCAAAGAGTCATTGATGCGCCAATGAAAAGGGCACCGTTCTGACCCAGAAAGGGCAAGGAGGAGTACCAAAGGATCATGATCTGACCAGGGTGAGGAGGGAATAGTTATCCGCCGGACCGAGGGGAGCTGCTGTACCTGCATGAATATATGATCAATTCTACAAAAGCTGTCATGAGGATTGGAATAGAACGTAAAGTCACGTTCAGTTGGATGAAGTTCCCTCCAGACATCCGCTAGCCCCGCCGTCCGCAAAAGAGAGCGCATACGTTCCTCCAGCACTAAGTCATGAGAGGGAGTCGCTCCCCGTGCGTAGCGCCTATCCAATGTGGAATCCAAGGTAACATTCGAATCCCCCATAACAAGAAGAAGACCCTTAGAGTGTCGAGAAACAATGGTGCAAAGATGCAAAAAGAATTTATGCTGGAAACGGTTAGGCGCGTAGTAAGAGACAAAGGTAACCTCCTGATCCCAGAGGGTGCCTTGCAGAAGCAAATACCTGCCCGTGGGGTCCGCTATATGCCTAGAACAGACAAAGGGGAGATTGCGTTTAAAAGCTATCAGAACACCCCGACGCTTTTCAGGAGCCGAGGCCGTGTAAAAGATGGGATTGTGAGGTGAAAGATAACGCGGAGCGGAGGACTGGGAAAACCTGGTCTCCTGTAGACATACCACATCAATTTGTTGCGATTTGAGGTGATGAAAAACTTTAGCCCGTTTCTGAGGCGAATTGAAGCCTTGAACATTTTGTGAATGTATTTTCAAAAGGGGCGAGGCCATGGCGGTATCAACACAACACGCTCAGCAGAAAAAAGCCCAAAGCAGCCAGCAATTTCCACTCCCAATGGCGATCGGACCCATGGCGTCCCGGAACCCTGCAGAAAACAAGACTTTTTTTTATTTTTTAACAGAAAACATTTTATTAACCACTTGACCTCCGGAAGATCTACCCCCCTTCCTGACAGGAAATTTTTTGCGATACAGCACTACGTTACTGTAACCAACAATTATGTGGTCATGCAATGCTATACATAAATTAAATTTATGTCCTTTTTTCACACAAATAGAGCTTTCTTTTGGTGGCATTTGATTACCTCTGCTTTTTTTTCCTTTTTGTCCTATAAACATAAATAGACCAACAATTTCTAAAAAACACAATATTTTTTGCTATAAAACATATCCAATAAAAAATTTAGAAAGTCAAATTTCTTCATAAATGTAGGCCAAAATGTATTATTTGCTACATATTTTTGGTACAAAAATCCCATTAAGCGTATATTGATTAGTTTGTGCAAAAGTTATAGTGTCTACAAATGGCAATATATATATATATACATATACTGGAATTTTTTAATTTTTATACTAGTAATGGCAGTGATCAGTGACTTATAGCAGGACTGCAATGTTGTGGCGGACATTTTTACACTAACTGACACTTTGTGGGAACCAGTGACATTAATACAGTGATCAGTGCTACAAATATGCACTGTTCACTGTACTAATGACACTGGTTGGGAAGGGCTTAACATCTAGGGCAAAGGGTTAAGTGTGTGCCTAGCTATGTGATTTATGTACACTAGGTGGCACTGGTACTATGGGAAGTGAAAGATTGTGTTCCCAGCTTCACAGGGACACACAATCTTTCATTCCCCACATGACAGAAGATCGGGGGCTGCTGGCGAACATACGTTTGCAGTTACTCGCAGACTAGCTTTTGCTGTGAGAGTGTTCAGAGCAGGACTGAGCAGCTGGCTATGGCAGAAGTGCAAAATCACACAAACACACACAGATATACATGTATACACACAGACAAGTGATTTTGCAAAGGAGGGCTGCCCTGTAGCAGTAAAAGTGCTATAGGGCGGTCCTAAAGTAGTTAAAGGTTTGTCCAAGAAAGTACAGCTCACAGCAGTACAAAAAAAATTGCAGCAAGTGGTACAGTGAAAATCATACAGTAGAAATCTCAGTTGAAGAACTGATCCACCTCCACATACAGAGCATAAACCATCAAGGGAGATCACTGAATAGGATAGTACTAATTTGTATTCAATTACAATATTACAGAGAGATTGAGACAAAATATCAGTACAGCTAACTACAGCACTGTTACAATATATTCTTAGGAGAGGGATGGAGGGGAGGTAAGGACAATAGGGAGAGGGACTCAGTGGGGTGAGAAAAAAAAATAAAAGGGGGGGGGGGGGGGTGAAAGACAGGCAGAGGGGGATTTAATAAAAAAAAAATAGGGGGGGGGGGGGGGGAGGAAGAATAACAAGCTCTCAAATTCAATTTAAAACATTCTCTCCACATGCATCTATCCAGGCTGACCACAACTTGTCAAATTTCCTAGGACAATTCTTACTTTCATAGGTTAGTTTATAGAGGGGTAGACAACATTGGTTGAAGACTTACAGCATAGTAAGATCTCCCTTCTTGCACAAAACAAAGCATAGGTGAGAAAAAGCTTAGTGTACTGATCTGCCTCCACATGGCCCAACAGTTGAAAGAGCAGGTCGGAGAACCCCGCTGACAGCTGAATGAGCGATTGGTTATTAACACGGTGGCCTTGCTCTTTAGCCACTTTGGCTCTCACACCTATTCAATTTGTACATTTCTGCTATGGACCTGTTTATTCGGCGATGATTTTGTCATTAGCTCTGACTAGCTCGGCCCCACAGCAGAAATACTGCTACAACGCGGCAGCTGTGCGCAATATCACATATATATACGTAATTTTGTATTTCCGGGTAGGGGGCACGCGCGGTGCCCGGTGATTGCTGAGGATCTCTGACAGGGGAGGGAGAACTATTAGTGAACAAACAGTTCTCCTCCGTCAGCTCCTGCACACTGCTTTGCATGGTTGCGCATAGCACAGCCATGCAAAGCAGTGTGCTTACAGTGAAGCACAAACACAGAACTTAATGTAAAACAGCACACAGTTAACCCTTTCATGCCCAGTGCCATTAGTACAGTGGCAGTGCTTTTTATTAGCACTGATCACTGTACTGGTGTCACTGGGGATGTCAGTGGCACCAAGTCCATTCCCCCCAGTATTAGAATGCCCGCCGCAGTCCCGCTATAAGTCGCTGATCGCTGCCAATACTAGAAAAAAAAAGCCCAGTATATCTACTCCACTTGTAAACGCTATAACTTTCACGAAAACCAATTAATTTACACGTATTGGGATTTTTTTTTTTTAGCAAAAACATGTAGCAGAATATATTTTGGCCTAAATTTATGATGAAATTGATTTTTTTACATTTTTTTTTACTGGACATGTTTAATAGCAAAAAGTAAAAAATATTGTATTTTATTCAAAATTGTCTGACTTTTTTTTTTAATAGCGCAAAAAATAAAAAACACACAGGCGATCAAATACCACTGAAAGAAAGCTCTATTCGTGGGGGAAAAAAAGAATGTAAATTTAATTTGGGTGCAGCATATTGCATGACCACGCAATTGTCAGTTAAAGTAACGCAGCACCGTACGCAAAAAATGACCTGGTCAGGAAGGGGGATAAATTCTCTGGAGGGAAAGTGGTTAAAATAACAACGTAATACATATGTTTGTTGTTTTTTCAAGGACAAACAAGGCTTTCTCTTCATGAATACTGTCCTGCAACAATAATATTTTTTTCACAATCCTTAGACAATTAAATGTAACAAACTAAAATAAACCGCACTCTTGGGCAGTGTTTAAAAATATAAATAGTGTTACTGCACAAAAAGAGTACACATTTTATTCTGTAATTTGTCATGTTTATATGGACACTAAAATTATGATTCTGGTACAAAACTTTGAAAAGTTGTTTTCAAATGAAATACGTTAATTTTTTTTCAATTTTGCACTTTTTTTTTTTTTTTCAGCGTAAAATGTGTAAATGCATGTTAAAGGTATAAAAATATTAACCAACAAAGCAAACAAAAAAAGTTTGAATTATTAATAGTTTATAAAACAGAAATGAACAAAAAAATAAATCAGCAGGAAAATAATAATTAAATGGAGAAGGAGAATAAAGAGCTAACTAGTGCTGATTAGAAGAAATTAAGGGTTAATAAGGGGTTAAACAGGATAAGTTAATTCAAAGAAAAAAAAAACTTTTTTTTTTTTTACTTGACAGGTTGCTTTTAATTGACTTCATCTGCAGATGAAGTTCATCCCTTTTGATCTGTAGATGAATAAACAGAAATATAAAAAATAAACATTATTCCATTTTGTATCTTTCTGTTTTAGTGGATGAGCAATGTTGTTGATAAAACATTGTCAGGCTTTTTTTTTTTTTTTTTTTTTACAACTCCAACTGCCATGACTAGTTTACAGCTGTTAGCAGGGAAACCTGCTGACCTCTGAATGAGTCATCAGTTGTTAAGGACACAGCCACCCCACCCCACCCCTTAACAACAGGTAATTGCCAGCTTTTTTCTTTATTTACATTTCAGCTATCAGGGGGAATCCCACTGACAGCTGAGAGAACCAAGCCTGAAGGTACAAGTTTCAGGTATTGGAGCATTTGCAGGAGTACCAATATTCATGCAAATGCTTAGTATGGATGCAACCCTAGTTGTTACCCCTCAAAGCACCAACAATTGTGGATCAGAGATTGAGTAGACAAAATTGACATATTACAAGACTTTACAGGTCATCAGTTTATTGTTAACAGTAAATGATTGGCATAGAATTATTGCTCTAACTCATGACCCAATATGTGTTGTGCAATCACCCTTTACATACATGTGCAAGCCCTACGTGTATGTTTGCATTTTGTGTATGTGCACAGTACCAGAGTTGCTTTTACTTTTTTTTACGTGATTATAATTTACATGTTTTAACACTTTTTTCATTTATTCATTGATTGCTATCATAAGGCCACTAAGCCCCTATTTGATAGCATTGACAGGTTCTCTTTTTGAGACATAAGGGGTAATGTCTCCTTTGCCCTCTGCTACAGCTGACCAAGTATGAACGGCTAATTACTCTGTATTTCAGCTGGAATTCTGGCAGCTCTGAACCTGGAAATATTCAATGATTCAATAAGGAAGAAGGGGGAAACAGGTGTACCTTTAGTCCCATAAACGTCATCCTGTTGCTGTAGAGGATCACTTTCACATAAAAAAGCATGCATCTGCAGCTTTGTGCTTGAGTACCAGGATGATTATAAATGTATCTTGGTAGACAAGTAAGAACTATAACTCACACAATATTCTTTAATTTAGTGCTTACAGACCAAACCTCTGCAAAATTGATAACATGCATGCATGGGTAAAAAAGTGACCTGATCCAAACACTTTATTGAATTTTAAGAATCCTTTTTGAGAATAAAAATGCAAATACAAGGTAATGAATATAACATATAGATTATGCTTTTGTGAATTGAGCCTACAGTGTTGAAGTTACAGACATAAATGGACTGTCATATGAAATCCAGGCTGGCAGCATTCCTTTACTGTGGTTTAAGAGATAGCTGACACAGCATCAGCTGCAGTGTCCCCTCCCTGGAACTGGCTTCTCTTCTAACAGAAGAGACAAGTCCAGGCATGCTTTAGACAGAGGAAACTAAGCAAGCATAATGCTGATATACGTTTACTTAACAAAGACTAAAAAATAAATTCATTGGCAAGTGTTACAAAGGTACAGTAAACACATTTCCACTTAAAGGAATATATATTATTTCAATTAGTATTAGAATTATTGTTTTTCATCTAAGAGGCCACCTTCATATAAATAATATTTTTATGTATGTTTAACGGTTAAAAAATATATATATTGATTTTGTGCACACATTTTACTGTATATGCGCAGGCTCCATTTTCTGCTATGCAGTGCTAAACAATGATTGTGTCTGCTGCTCCTTCTTAGGCCTCTTGCATACAGGGCGGACACTTCACAGGACCTCTCCGCTGATCCCCGCTAAGCAAGCAGATAACAGGTCCAGGTCTGCTCCGCTGCAGAGCGGACACAGACACAGCCCGCTGTCCTCTATGGGAGGTCAGATAGAAACAAACCGCCTGTGCGTTTCCATCCTACTGCCATCCTAACTGATTCGACAGACGTAGGGGGAATGGATCCCCATGCATCTCTTTTTGGCGGATTGGAATGGATGTCAGCGGGTGTAAACGGATACATGTCCATTTACACCCGCCACTCCATAAAGGAGAATAGAGGTTCCGATCGGGTCCACCTGACAAAAGGGCAGGCAGATCCGATTGTTCCGTCCGTGTGAAAAGGGCTTTACAGTACAGGGCTATGTACCAACTGACTCAGTGAAAATCTGGCTTTTTATTTTTTAAAGAAATGCCTTTTTCTGTGAATGGAACCTTCACTTTTGCATTATTATCCTAGGCAAGGATGCCTCCCGGGATATTCACATCATGCATCCCGGTGTAGCTTCATCAATAGGTTGGTTGCTAGGATATGGAAGAAACAGCTGACCCATTAAAGATGACGTTACAAAGAAAACGGGGGTGCAGGACCCAGCCTGCAGACAATAGAACACAGTATGACACAATCACATGTATATTTAAATTTAAGCTTCAGCTACTGATCTCTGTAAATAACAGGCTTTTTATGAGAAAGGTGTCAAATAGACAGAGGAACACAAGTAAAAATGAACCTAATGTTTGATGACTGGATGGGAGGCTACAACATTTTCATATTCATATGAGAATTTATTTTTTACTTTTTTAGTCCTGTCTGCGTTCATTTGCTATACGTGTAAGTTTGCGCTTGCAGCGTTTTTTACTTCTAGGAAGTTCACAAAATACATTTCTGTTTTAAATCTGCATAAAAATGTTATGCAATATACTTAATTATTTTTCTCATTTAATCATGATGTGATGATGTGATTCTTTTAGTAAAACCAAAAGAAATACGACATTACATAGCAATAATGAAATATAGTTAAAGGAAATCTTGACAAACTTTGATCACCAGGTGAAAATAAAGCATAAAAAGGAAAACAAATGCAGCCATCACATCTAAGGATTGGTAAACTGCAATATAACAAATGTTTAATACAGAGTTAAATCAATGGGCTTTGTTTAGCTTTAAGAAGGGATTCTAAAGTCAAATACAGAGCTCCCTCTAGTGGTTAATCTAGAAATACCTCTATTTAAAGTGCCATTAAACTCACATTTTTTATAAAAGAAATGCAGTATGTTTATACATTTGTGCTCAAAAGTTTGCATACCCTTGGAGAATTGGTAATATACAATATGTACCATTCTTAAAGGAAACATGAGTGAGCAGGCAAAACACATTTCTTTTACTTCTTATAGGATTCATATTCAACCGTAGGTCATAAGAGAATGGCACATCATCATAAAACAAAACATGGCAACAAGTAAACAAATGAAATTCCCCCACATAGTGGCTCTATGATAAGGTCAGGAGACTGATGGCCACTCCAGAACCTTCACCATTTTCTGCTGTAACCACTGGTGGGTCAATTTGGCCTTGTGCTTAGGGTTACTGTCGTGCTGGAAAGTCCAAGAGCGGCCCACATGCAGCTTTCATGCAAAAAAACCTGACAGATCGCTGTACCAACACAAGCAATGTTGGTGTTGCGATCTTCCCGCTGTGCCTTTGTGTTCTGACAGGGGACTCCCCCCACACTGATCTGGACTTATTAACAAGCTCCTGAAACTGAACTTTTTCATAAGTAAGGGACTTAATTGTACAGGCAGTACACACAAGAGGAGTGCATGTGCAAGACGTGGCCAGAGGTGGCAGTAATGAGGCTGATGTGTGCTCAATGACACAGCAGCAGCTGCGGACTCCTCTTCTGGTGTGCACCTATATAGAAAGGCAGCACGCAGCAACCCTCCATCCACATGAAAAAAAAATGCACCAGGGGCAGCTGCCGCTCCCCACCCCTGCTTACAAGGACCAGTATTAACTAGCCTGGACTTAAGGTGTACCACAAATGCTCTGAAAAACTTCATCCAAATACTTTGAGGGTGAGTGATATGCCCTGCTACTCCACCTTCTCGGCTGCATCCTGACCGAATTTACTGGCAAATCCCAGCTGTCAATGCAATGTTACTGCTCCTGTATGAATTGACACTCAAAGAACAGTGCCTGAAT